TATGCATAAGGTATAATAGGTCTGTGGTATGTTTTCTATAGATATAATACCTTCTTCAGTTTTTACTATAAATAGAAGACTTATTGTCATTTAATAGATATAGGGTCCCCTACAGATAGAAGAACAGGAGAACATCTTCAACTCTGCCTTATATAGAAAAACTTCTACCTAAAACCCGTATAATTCTATTCTGAATTATTGTATAGAATGAACATATTTTACCAATCTTTTATAATAGGTTCTGACGGTAAAACATTTTAATTAAGCCCTTAATTATTATTAAGTTTTCTGTATGTGTAAGACAAATGTTGTGTATTTATTTTAACAATATTTATTATTTATAGGATGCACTTAATATAAATAATTAGAAGTTTTCATTATAATATAAAATGAAAATAGAATACATCAATACTGAGGTGCGCAACACAATCTACATTTAATTGTTTTTTTTAATTCAATAATAAAAATATATATGTAAATACTTTGTGTATAAATGCAGCATGGTACAGTAGACCACAGATATAAGAACATCAAAAAAAAAATCGAGAAATTTTTTCTTATAAGCGGGTTTTTCTTATATGAATACATTTTACATAATAATCTGTTTTCTTATATGGGTGAAACATTTTCTTATGTCCGTGTTTTTCTTATATAGATGTTCTTATATCCGTGGTCTACTGTATAGTGATGACGATATTTTACTTTGTGTATAATGTTTTATACGACCACCTGGAGGCTACATCTACAGATTATCTTCAAATCTCGATTACATTATCTTATATTCTCTTTATTTTCATCATTATACTGGCTATTACCCTGTTGATGTTCCTCCTCTAGGAAACTACGACTATGGCCAGTAGTTGGAGAATTACCTGCATTTCGACTGTCACCATCCTCTCCACTGCTACTTGAATTTGTTATGCCCAATTCTTTTATTATTTCATCGACCTGTAAACATTTCTGACGTGCCGCCTCAATTGTCTCCTTCATCTGTTCAATATTCTTTAGAAATTCTGGACCATCGTTAGCACTGTCATCGAGTATATTTTCAATTTTCTTCAAAATATCATATTCATTATTTTTATGATGATAATCATAGCTGTTGAGACAAAATTTCGTATCACGATGTAAATCATCGATTTGATTTTCGATATCATGAAATATATCCATTAAATTTGACATGGTGATGCTGAAATACAAAAAATATTGAGATAGATAAAATGTATATAAAATATATTTATAAATATTTTACGTATTTTCTTTAAATAATTCCAATTGTTAAAAATTTATTTCTGATCCAATGTTATTGGGCGCGCTTTGTTTTGTTGTGCTGTTGCTTCGAAATTGTTTGTATTCGTCGATTAGTCGCCAACGTACTGTGGTAGATAGAGTAAAACAGCTGTTTGACCAGAAAAATGCAGTTAGTGAAGAACGTAACGCTATGGAATGATTGATCATGCTCATAAAAAAACTGAAGTAAATTTAACTGCCGGCTCGAAAGGAAAGAATTCAAGACCCTAAAATAAAAAGGTATTAAAAAATAAGTTCTGATTGACTTTTTGTTGATTTCAAATATTTGTATTTTCTTTCAGTTCTTATACTGGCACATAGCTAATTCGTAAGCCCTGCAAACGGTGAGTCCTTAGGTTATGTTTGGATGGAGCCAAGTAAACACAGAATTTTGCATTTCCCCCAAAACAAAAAATTGCTACCATGTTGGATGGAGTTGAGAAACAGTATCATTTGTTGTCCTCAGTAATTTAAAATGTCTCCTGAAAATATGGGTGGATTATGGATGTTTGATCTCCACCCAATCTTAGACGACATAATAAAAAAAAAAAAACGTGAGCGTGACCATGTAAAAAGAAACTGTCTGTGCCAAAAGCTGGGATTCAAAACCAAATATTGTTTGGTTTATTGATCTGCTACCGAGTCACTGTCCTGGAGATATGAGATCCTAGGTATGTTTAGTCAAATACAATACAAAAAATATTCTTTAATTGAAATCCGATTTCAAATATAGCAACAATATCAACAGAAATTTAGATGTTTTCTACGACAGATTGGCCTACGATCCATAACGACCCCGCCTACGTCTATCATATCTGCCAAGTGTGCAAAAACAGCAACAGACTATTACAGGCCTATAGTAAAGCTGACCAGAAGCCGGTCATAAAGCCAAAACTTCAAGTACCTTAATATGGATGACAGCAAAGAACAGGCAAGTTCTAAATAAAATACAAACTTTCATTCCTTTTCTATGAACGTTATTCGGATCTAATACAAAAGAATACCTAATACAAACCAAGAACATCGCAAAGTCATTCATTAAACGCTATAGTTTTCGATTTTGCATTTCTAGAAAAGTATGCCTGGGCATGAGAAATTGGAGCCCAACGGACATAGTCAAAGAAATGAACCGTTCTCTTTAGACAATGTGATCGAAATCGGTAGTAATTTCGGGAAACTTCATAAATACCTAACTTAAATCTGTCATTGATGATAATATGCTTATAATCCAATACGTATTATGAACTGTGAGCTTATGGGTGGTATTATTTTTATTAATAAAACCTTCCAGTCATACATATCATCTCTTAGGGAAATATCAGGCAATATAACTTCGGCATGACTAAAACTCGTGAGGAGTACTATAGGAGGATGCCCTCAGAGATGTTCATTGTGATATTTACAGTTGCGGATAGTTTACAGAGTCTGGTGGAATATATTTTAAACTTGTCATTCCGTTTGTATAGTATTGATTAGAATAAAATTCTATGTCGATATAGTCATGTCCGTTCGTCCGTCTGTCTTTCTGTTGCAACCACGAAAGCGATCGCCATATTTAAGATAGAGCTTTGAACATACATTTCTACTACTCAAAAGATTGACATTGAAATAAAATCGGTCCAAGTTTTGGTAAAGCCCCCAATATTTGGAAGTTTGGGCAAGTTTTTTAATATAATTGACTGTTATTTAATATTTTGGGTTCTCATTGAATATTAAATCATCCCAATAAAATGATCAACATTGGTCCATAGTTTAAATTGGTCCTCATATAATATGTCTCTTGCGGCTAGGCTCAAAATTATGTAAATAAATTGTAATTAAATTGAGAGATTAAGAAATCATTCTTCCATAAAAGTTCTTACAGGCAACAATATAACCCCTTGGATATGCAGTAAAATGCAACGTTTTGATATTTTTGGGCTACAATCTATTATTTTCTTGAATAAGTCCAAAATAATTAGGTCTCACTGTGTACTTCTTTGCATGTCGTCAATAGAAGAACATATGCTTTGTCTTCAATAGAAGAATTCCATCTGGGACTTTAAAACGTATAAGAGACCCTTTTAAGACCTTCACATTTTTCATAGAAGCCAAGCCCTTCTCTACCTTATATTTTCCCTCAAAACAAGAATACATTTTAGACTAGATCTTTTAGGAATTCTAGTGATGACGACATTTTTGGTCGTCATTAGACAAAAATACTTCTAGACCTCAAAAGTTCTAAAGGACATTGAGGGCTTTCATAGAACTCCTCCTAAGTCTTCCATCTTGTCTATAGGGGCTAATTCCAAAGCCTGTAAATAAATTGAATTTAAAAATTAAAAAGTCCACTAGATTCGGTATTCAATAAAAATCAAAATTCTTATCTTGTCTTGTTGGAAAAATTCAACATAATCAGGTATCACAGTGTTCTTCCTGATTGTCAACTGAAGAGGACCTTTCAGAATATTTGCGTCTTCCATAAAAGTTCTTCTAAGTCTTCCAAACCTTTTAGACTATCAATAAAAGACCTTTGATGTCTTCAAAATATTAATTGTTTTAGGTCTTGGATAGAAGACTATCATCAAAGACTTTAATAAAATTAGTCCTTCTATGACTTCAATGGATGAACATTCACGACTCTCACAGACGTCCTTCCACGTTTTCCAACTTATTTTAAGGGTCGAGGTATTCAATAAAATTTGACAATCCGATCTTCTGTAGGACAACTTAGGTTGTTTTTTTAATAAAACATAAAACTCTCATAGAGAACCAGGCCACACATTATACTTCTAGGTCTTCAACCGAAGAGGACCTTTACGTTTTCCATAAAAGTTCTTCAATAATATACATATTTCTAAGTCTTAAATAGAAGGATATTTTTAGGAAATCCTTTTAGGTCTTCAATAGCAAAACAATCACGACTTCCATAGAAGTCCACCTACGAATTCTTTTTTTTAGGGGCTTGATACTTATTCATCTACAAAATTTAAAAATAATTTGAAATATGAAAAAGTCTGGGCCTTCCGTTGAAGTCCTCAGCAATAGAAGCATACATGTTGTGCTTTTCCTGCGAATCTTTAACAATAAAAGGAAGAAAAAATTTCAACACATTGAAAAGGAGATTTTCTGCCTTTGCAGAGTAACCCATATTCTAGAATAGAGTAAGGGCTTTTGGGTATCTATAGAAGCAGATCATTTAGTTAATTAAATAATCCCTTCCAGATCACAAAAAGCATACAATCGTCCAGGTATTCTGTCTAACTCGTTGAAGTCTTTATAGATTTTCAATGGAGTATAATATATATATATGTATATATATATATGTATATATATATATTCAATGGAAAACACCTTCTAGTTATTCAGAACAGAACACGACCTGCTTTACCTAAAACAGAAGAGGATCTTCTAGATATTTAAAAAAAATTCAACACATTGAGTAATTTTCGTCTTCTTAAGAAGAAGACATTTTGTATCTCCTATAAAAGAAGTTCGCCCATAATAGAAGATCGTTGTAGTAAGAGGTGAGTCTAAGGCCAATATTGCGGATTTAAAAGTTGTGTAGGGCACTCGTATAATAAAATATATTCTTCAGGACACCACAGATGAAGAAACGAAAAATTTCGGTTTTTTATGTATTCTACAGAGCTGATTGGTGGAAATCTTATTCATAGTATAAAAATAAAACTAAATTTATTTAATCTTGAATTAAAAGTGGGTTTTTTATACTACGTTTGATCCAGGGACCAATTGGGTGTTACATATTTATCAAAATCGGTGGTAGTGGGTACGACAATTTCATTTGACGATGAACTGGGCCTGAAAGCAAATATAGATTCACGTTAATTAATATTTTATTTCCATGACTATTATAACCACTTACAACGTTGTCGGCACCTCCATCATGTGTTCTCCTCCAAAGGACACCGCTTCCATTTTCACATTCGTAGTGGCTGCTTCTTCCACCACCGTGGATCTCACATATCTCCCCCTTGCCGGCGGTTCACTACCCTGACTATGCTGTTGATTCATGTGTTTATTCAAGTTTGATTGGCGGGTAAACCGGCTAGGACATTGTTTACAGGCAAACGGCTTATCACCACTGTGCGATAATAAATGGACATTTAAATCTGTTTGCCTTGCGTATTTCTTATCGCAGTACGGACAGGCAATTGTCTTGTCCATATGATTCAATTTCATGTGTGTAGCCATTGAGGAATGTTGTATAAAACGTTTGCCACAGATTTCACAACCATAAGGCCTTTCGCCGGTATGCCGACGCATGTGACTTTTAAGGGTAGTGGGTCTCAGGAAACGATCGCCGCAAAATTTACACTCATACGGTCGTTCGCCCGTGTGGGCACGCATATGATGTTTCAGGGCATAGATGGTGGAATAGGCCTTGGCTGGAAGAGAAAAAAAATAAATTTTCCATTCATTACTCTTCAATTTCTAACTTACGACACATGGTACAAAGATAATCCTTTTCTCCCGTGTGCATAACCATATGGTATCTGAAATAAAAATCACATATTTACTCTATTCCGAATTTGAATTTAGTGAACGGTTATACTTCAATTTGGATGCTGATATCATTTCCTTGCCACAAATATTACAGGGAAAGGTTTTCTTTGGTTTTGGTGGATTGTTCTTTGGTTTTTGCTTCTTAACTTCTTTTGGTTCTTTTTGTGGAGTTTCTGTTGCCGCTGTTTCTTCTCCACTATCATCTGAGGTTATTGCTTTTGGTTTTCGCCGTCTTCTTTTCCTTGTGCCATTTGAAGTTGTGGGTTTTGTGGGCGGTTTATTTTTAGGTTCATGAACTTCCATGTGGGCATTCAGACCAATACTGGTGAAATAGGGTTTCTCACAGATTTTACATTTGAAACGACCTGAAAAGGGAATAAAAAAAGAAAAATTGAATGAATAGTTATGAAATTAAAATAATGGAATAAGATTTCCTATCTTCTGCATGGGAACCCATCATCTAGAACAAAGATAGGGCTGATGGTTTTCTATAGAAGCAGATCATTTGAATTAGTTCAATTGAATTAGTATTGAGAACCAGGTCTTCTTCTTTTCGATGCTCGACAAGATACAGCGTATCTTCTAGGACTTCAACAGAAAAGGACCTTTCAGTCCTCCTCTCACCTTCCATAACATTTTTTCTAGGCCTACAATAGAGGAATACCTTTAAGACTGACCTTAACTGCTTTGGGTCTTCAATAAAATAAGTTCTTATAGGTCTTAAACAGAACAACATCTTCTGGTTTCCAATAAAATAAGTTCATCTAGACCATCGATAAAAGGACATTTACGACTTCCATTTAAGTTCTGCTATGTCTTCCATTCTGACTTTAAGGGTTAGGTTTCCATTCATTGAAATTGAATTGAGAAATTTAAGTCCTTCTTTCATAGAAGTCTATATCAACAATAAAAGAACATCGATGTTGAATAAAATTCTCTCTACTTCTCTACTCTAAACGAAAAATATATTTTGTGAAATTATTCTGGCTTAGAAGAGATCTCTGGGATTTGTTCTAGCTATAGAAAACCCGCAAAGTGTGCTATAGCCTCTTAGAAGTTTCCCCCATAAATATATAAAACGTTTTCCAACTGTCAAAGATCTCCACAGGATCATCTTATCCGAGAACACCTTTAGAATAGCTTTAATGATTGGTCGACCTCAAACGATCTATAGAAGATGCCTTTAAGATCTCTGAGAAGTTTTCAAGCTATCCAAGATCTGTAGGGGGTCCTATAGCTTCATAGAAATTCGCTAGAAAGTATGCAAACCATAGAAACCCCATAGAAGCTCCTCCAATCTTATATGAAGATTTTAATACTTTGAAAGACCTCTATAAACTACGGTAGCCTTTGAAGACCCATGGAGATATATTGAATGTCTTCTAGCTCTCAAAGACCCCTAGAATATCTTTTTGTCAGACCTTAAAAGATAAAAATGCATCTAGTCATCGAATATACCATAAAGATCTCTGCAAATTTATTGAAAACTGTAGAGGGTCCTATAGCATGTTAGATGTTCACTATTCTAGCCTTAGAAACCCTAAAGATGATCTTCTTTAAATACCTCTATCAGCTGACTTTTCACAATAGTTATAGAAGATCTTCTAGTTATCCAAGACCTACCGAAGATCTTGTTGTCCTAGAATCTATAAAATGAGTTTAAGCATTGAAGGACATAAGAAGATCTATAGGAATTCCTCAAGAAGAAATTCACTACAAGTTATAGAAACCCTGTAGATGATCCTCTAAGCTTAGGTGATGATTTCAAAGCATTAAAAGACCTCTGTCAGCTGACTTCTAGTCTTAGAAGACCTCACAACAGTTATAGTTATCGAAGACCTACCGAAGATTTCGTTGTCCTAGAATCTTTAAAATGAGTTTAAGCTTAGTTTAGAAGATCTATATAAATTCCTCAAGAAAAAAGTTCACTATAAGTTCTAGTCATGGATAACCTCTTAAATGTCTTCTAACCTTAGAAGATGTTCTAAACGTTTGGAAAGACTTTTGGCAGGACTTTTTCTAGCCAAAGTTGTCTTCCCGAATGTTTTCTAGAATTAGAAGTCCCCATAGTTACTTCTTCTGGAGAATTTGGATGGTATAAAAAGTTCAGCTCGACCGAATTTAACTTTTCTGAAAACTGTCTTATCGTCTTTTCAAAAGTGCCGATCTTCGTTTAAAAATCTATACAAATTTGAATTATGGATTTCCTTCTTACCTAGAGGAAAAATTTGCGATTCAATTGAAACAAGAAAATCGCTATCATTGTTATCATCACTGTCTCCGCTGGCCGCTGTATTATCGGGAGAAAATAGCAAAAGGGGTGGAGGTGGTGATGGTAAATCTTCAAAGTTATTATCTTCATTATCTAAGTAAGATGCAAACAACAGAAGAAAAGTAAAATTAGCACAATATTGCAAAGCAGCTATACTTTTTTCATACTTTCACAATCTGAAGCAATAAACTTCACATGAAGATCATTAAAATTTCCAGCAAAATCTTGACAATCCAACTGTAAGAGAAATAGAAAATTTATTTTTTTAATTCATTTTCAAAAAATATCAAGCCGTTACAAAAGTGAATACTTTACCTGTTCTCTCTTAACAGTCCCTTCTACAATTTCTTCTTGTTCGCTTACATTTTCCAAGGGATCTTTATATGTTCCGAAATCTTCACTTAATCTACCATCTTTAATAGCCTTTAATTTCTCCTCACTGGCTATTGCTTTTTTAATAAAAAGATAAGCATTTTCTAAATCCGATTTGCATCCCCTACAGATGTATGATGGTAAATCATCTTCAAATGCTGCCTGTAGTTTTGTACAAAAGTTGAATACTTCATAAAATGTTTTAACTTCATCGTGATCACAATCGCACGGTTTATTTAATTCAGAAAATCCATCAATTTCGTCTTCATTTGATAATCCGCCGGTGGAAAGACAAACACGACACACTTTCTTCAGCAACGATAAAGACATTTTTGAGCGAATCGTGCAGGTGAAGCAGACGATTTTGTGCTTGTTTTTTGCTTTGCTCGATCGGGAAATGAAACGTAACGTAACGCCGCTTTTGAGATAAGATACCTAAGCGGTTCAGACACATATCAAATTCGTTGTTAGATTTCATAGATTTTAGCCGTTAAGGTGTAACAATTAGGAGATTTTATGGAATAATAATGCAAGGCAACAACAATTGTCTGACGTTTTATAGCTCAAATATCAGGTCATCTAGAGGACAATGAATGTAAGGATACGTTGTAAGGCCAGATGAAGTCAAATGTACAATTTGTATTGTCCCACGAAATATGGGCCGAATCGCACCAATTATGTTTGTGTGTCCCCCTGTCCATTTTAATTTGTATTCAATGTGCAAGTTTTGGTTCTAGCCAGCCATGGCCTGTTGTGAGCCCAGAAAATTTAAAAAATAGAGAAAACTTGAGATTGATTTCCCGATACTTTAATGAACATTGTATTATTTACGAAGTTCTTCAATCTGTCCCATTCAAACCCCCTAATATCATTAAGGTCATACATAGTACACATTTCCAACAATTGGGTTTGAAGGTTTTCTGGTATTTTATGGAACACTTGGTCTTCTGTTCCTATTTATTAGACGAAATTCCTCTGGTATTTAAAATAATACCTCTTCTTGGTTTCTCTTCGACCTCTTTTTGAGTAAAATATTACGTTGGGGAAATCCATGCAAAAAAAAAAAAAAAAAAAATGGCAGATGGCTGTACTGATAGATTTCTCGAAAAGTATCGATCAAACAATTTCAGGATTATGATCGTTGGAAGGGTAATATTTCGCATTAAAAAAGATTTTGCTGTTTTTGTTTGGTGTACTCAGTTGTGAGTTACAGGGTGTTAAAAATGGAAGTGAACAAAAAGAAGACAATAATCGAGTCAAGACTTTTATAAACAAGGACCATCTAGTCCAGTTTTCTAGAAAAAATGCCACCTTCCTGCTTTCATGGAAGAAGACAACCTTCTGTCCTTATATATATGTTTATAATAATTTAGATATTTGGTCTCCCAATGAATAACCTCCACTTGAACGTTATATTCACCGGAGACACAAGACCTCAAAAATTATAAATATTCTTGATCTGAAGAAAATTCTATGTCGATTTGCCCATATCTGTCCGTTTTTTCTGTTGAAATCATGATAAGGCTTGGAATATTTCCGAAAATGGTTTCAAATTTTTCACATATGTTTGGTATTCCCAAATTTTCGATATTTTTGGAATTGTTGGCACATTTTTCAACCGAATTGGCTGATATTTTAGATTCTCATTATCAATATTAATCCACTTTTCTCTGTAGCCGCCATATAAACGTACCTCCAAAATTTCGATATATTGTAGGGTGTAGAAAGTTTCCCTTCAAAAACCCATTGAGCGCAGCAGTATTGTCGGTCGGGGCCGACCATGCGATACCCTACACAAATACCACGGAACTCTAATTTTGTGCGGATGTTTATTCCGAGCCTGGGCAATATTTCGTGATATTTGTACCCTTTTGCCCGATTAGAGGTCAAAAGCACCTCAAAAGCATATATTCCAAATATTACTAATATTCAGTACATCCCTTCTAATTACTTGTCCTGATTCCCTTCACTTAAAAAAATTAAGTTTTCGGTCCACTTCATCCCAAAATTATTATCTGATCATCACCAAAAATATAGGCGTTGTCCTTGACCATAACTAGAACATCAGCGCTACATTTCCGCCCTCTAGTGAGGTAATGGGTCACTAAATAATATCTCAGTACGTAAGCATCTGTAAATATTTAAGTTTAACTCCCATACTTGGGAGTATACGACAATACAATTGGTATCAATTTAAAGGTCAACCACACCTCTTGGATATACTATCAACTTCTCGGGTCTATGTCCTCCAGGGGCAAATATATACACATTTTTCACACAAAAGTCAGGGTCCATTTGACCCACTAAATATTTACCAATCATTATAAAAACAGGCATGCTTATTCTTAAGCCCGATCCCGTTCTCCATGTAAAATTTTGCGATGTTCGGGCCATAATTACGGCCTCTGGAGCGACAGGAAAAACGGACAAAAATTAAGTATTTGGTCCATTTCATCCCCTAAATATTAACCGATCTTTACCAAAAACAATAGGGGTCTTCATTAGGCAGAACCCATCCTATATGCAAAATTTCGTGAAGACTGGTCCATAACTATGGTCTGTATCGTGTTTACAAATTAAAATGGACAGACGGATGGACACACGACTCAGCTAGTCGATATATGAATCGCCCTACCAAAAACTATCCATATTGACTTATGTTTCGTGATAAGTTCCAATTCAAATTTTTCATTCCCACATAATTGTTCTAATCCATTTTTGGTACTTTTTAATGCCCACCTCATGGTGTAGGGTAAATAAGTTCAGCCCGTTCGAACTAATCAGCATTTTAACTTGTTTTTATGTCCGCAATTCGTTTTAGAATTGATATATTTAAGATAAATTTTTAATGCACCTAGATGTTTTGGTTTTGGCAGTCGGCCTCATTTTAATTGAAAGTTTTAGCCTCATTTCCCCACAAAGAGGTTCTTGTAAGTTACAAAAACTTCTTTAGAAAGCCAAAATAAGTTCTCTTCTATAGATGTTTTCTATAGGGTCTATACATGTTCTGCATAATGAATTATAAGGTCATAAAAAAATTAAAAAATTGTAGGGAATACAATGGTTCCCCTATGGCAGTGCATCTGCTGGCTTTCTTCGAGTATTAGATACAGATGCGCTATTCTAAAGATTTGTTATATCATGATTCATAGGATGTTGGTGTGGTCTACATATATTCTATTTGGACTTGAGGGACATCTAATAAGGTTTTCGTCCTGCCTTTACTTTATTTTTTGTATAATGGCAGCTAGAATTTTCTATATGGTGTTCAGTGGGGTTATTCCTCTCCAGTTATTACAATATTTTATGTTGTCAAGTTTGGGTAACTTCATATACCTGCAAGGTTTTCTGCTGTTTTACTTGTTTTGAACATTTTCGATACTATTCTCTTGAGATATTGTCCAGTTGTATTATTTGTTCTCCTCTTTGAAAAATTTAGTCTCAAAACTTCTCTGATATAAAAAAACGGTGAGAAAACGATATAAATTCTAGGCTGGCAAGCATTGTTACAATAATTACGACTATTGGTTAATACAAATTACCAAATGTGTCGAAAATCTTACCTGTCGCACATGATTGGGGGAACAACTTGTTCTTCATATAACATTTATTTTTATTTAAATAAAACATTTATTTCAATATACATATTTACAGAACCCAGCATTTATGATTAGATAAGCAAGGACGGAGCCACAATATTAATTTCATAGACGCCAGCAAACATTTAGTTTCACATTGTGATCAGTCGGGTTTACTTCAAAACCCATATTTACATAAAATGAGTATTTTAACCTTTTTTATTTTAGATTTTCAATTATCACCAGAAATGGGGGAATTAATTTCCAATGGAGAAAATCCTTTTTGAAAACTTAGAATGACAATAATCTTCATATCCATTCATTGTTAGTTCTAGAGTCCCTCCGCTGTGTTAATTTTTCAAATATCACAAAAAAAAACATTCATTTTGGAAAGAGTTTATTTTATTCCGAAACATGAATGCCTTCCTTATTAGCCTTGACATTTATTCATTTTCTTTTACTGAATACTCCTGTGTTTTGCACTCACCCTCAACACTCCCTCCCCCACCGTTATGCGATTTCATGTGACTCCTCAGTGAAACAAGTTGTATGAAACCCTTACCACATTCCTTACAAACATATGGTCTCTCTCCCGTATGACGCATTTCATGATTCCTTAGAGCATATTTCTTGGCAAATTGATGGTTACAATAGCTACAGGTGAAACGGCGAATTTTCAAATGTACCACCTTATCGTGGGTACGTAAATCATTGGCACTATAAAATACCATGGAACATTTCGAGCAAATATATTTCTTCTCTTTGGTGTGATAATTTATGTGAATGGCTAATTCCTTCTTACTCGTCTTCTTCATATCACACAAATGGCAATGGAAATTTTTAATTCCCGCATGTCGTAATTTATGATCCTGAAAACCGCAGCTAGTACGAAAAGCCTTACCACAATTGGGTTCATCACAATGGTAGGGATATTCGTCGAGCGGTTTGTGAGTATACTGATGTTCGGTTAGTTTTATCAGTGATCTATAGACTTTGCCACATTCTTCACAGACATGATGGGTGGGTTCGTCAGATTTCATTTTTTGTTTTCGTAGTTGTTTTCTTTTTGGTGGGTGTCCTTTTGATTTTTTTATAGGTTTCTGTTTATTGGGGGTAGTTTCTTCGTTTTCAGAAATATCCGTTGAGTTACAGATTTCGTCTTCTTCTTCATGCATTTCTCCACTGCAATCAGAATCTCCTAATGTTTCGTTAGGGTTATTATGATCATTATCGTCATCCTCATGCGAAGGTATATCTAAGAAATCTACTGAGTCGTTCTCCTTCTTAGCAGACTTCAGGAACTACAAAAGAAAACATAATATTAATTTATTTCCAAAAATGCAATTTGAAGCCATAACGGTCGACTTCAATAAAATTACAATTAAAAAAATGGTAGGAATTTCGTGGACTAGATATATTTATATATGTATGTAATATATAAATTTAGAATTTCTAAGCCACATCCATAATCCCTTCCAAACAATCACATAAAATTGATTTTAAATATGAGTATTAATCTTACCTCCCCGTTGCCACCTCCTTCGTCTATTTTGGATTTATCATCTCCATTGCCTGATGACTTGGGTAATGCCACAAAATCAAATTCCAACCATTCATGTTTAATAGCATTTGATTCAATAGTCGCTTCTGTCGTGGTTGCCTTTGGCGACATATTTGTGATATCCACTATCTTTGATTTTGTTTCCATTATCTCCTCGAATATTTTCAAAGAATTTTGACACATTTCATAAAATTCCAAAAATTTTTTCAATTTTCCACAACATGAATTGCAAACACAGCTAGGATACGTATCTTCAGCCAAAGGATTCTTTATGGATGCATCTTCCAACCATTGTCGTATTTGAAAATCCATATTGTGTATATTGTTTTTGTAATCTTGTTTTCGTAATTCCTTGCTGCAGGCACGACATAGTGATTGAAGATCTTGCTTCGGGTTGATTTTTTGCATTTCGTTTGAGATTTGAATTGAATTTTTGCGGGTTTTCACGGAAGTAATTCTGAGCGTAGAACAGTCCTTAAATTTTCAGCAAATTTTATTGAGATTTTGTGAAACAGCTGATATGTTGTTGGAATGGAGAGAAGTAGTCAGACGTAATGGTGGATTACGAGAGCGAAGAAGTACATGTGTAATAAATTTCTAGGTAATAATAAATTAATAAATCTATATACTATATACTACAATACAATATTAAAAAAAACAACATTAAAATAATTATATAAAGAAATTATTTTTGTCTCTATTAATTATTTATACGAAATACGTATTTGTTGTAACGTATGGTTAACGTATCCTTAGTAATACGACAAGAGACGTTACGTACGTCAATAATTATAGAAAATAACCAAGTCAACCATATGGAACCTGTTTAAAATTTAAATGAATTCTTCCGGTAGACAGATAATCTATACGACCGGGAAGATGAGCTGAGTATTATTGATTTGCAATTCAGAAGTGTTTAAAGTCATGTCTGTTTTTGGCATTCCTGCAAAATTAATACGGCTATGCAGGATAACTTTAATTGGCACAAGATTCTCAATTAAAGTCGGAAAGGATCAATCGGAGCCCCTTAATACCGAACGCGGATTCAGACAAGGTGACAGTTTGTCCTGCGATCTTTTTAACATCCTGCTGGAAAATGTCATACGAGAGGCAAAAGTAAACAGAAATGGCACTCTGTACAGCAAACAACACATGTTACTCGTATACGCCGATGACATCGACATAATGGGTCGAACATTGAGAGTGGTAAAAGTCACCTATGAACAAATTGACAAGGAGTCTGCCGAAGAGGGTCTGGCAGTAAATGGCGATAAGATCTATCTTAAGGGCTAAGCAGAATGCTCGCATTGAGCCATCCGTCGCGTTATATGTTATCGAAAATACAACAACCACAAGGGAACGATATGTGTTTGTGTTATCGTTTCCTTGTGGTTGTTGTACTTTCGATAATATATAACGCGACGGATGGCTCAACGCGAGCATTCTGCTTAGCCCTTTATGGTATCAACGCGCAAGACGTCCAGTAGACTCGGACCAACTGTGGAACATGAGAACTACAGCTTCGAGGTAGTCAAAGATTTTATATATCTTGGTACCCCCAAGAAATAAAAGTAGTGTCATTAGTTTTGAAATTTTGAAAAGAATAGTGTTGGCCAACAGATGCTATTTGGGTCTATGTAAGGAATTCAGAAACAAGGCAACCTCCCGCTAGTACAAACTCACAGCATGGGTGCCTCGCAAGCAGATGAGGCTGCTCTTAGAGTGTTTGAGAGATAAATTCTCCGAAAGATCTATGGGCCGATCTGCGTCGACGGTGAATATAGACGTCGAGTGAACTATGAGTTGTACCATCTATTCTCGGACATCAGCATAGTCAGACGGATCGAGCTGCAGCGACTACCTTGGCTAGGTCATGTGAGAATGAATGAGGATGCCCCAGCTCAAAAGGCATATAAAAGCGAGCTAACAGATAGATCCACGAAATCGATGGAAAGATGAAGTGGAAGACAACGTCTCGGAACATGGTCTTTCAAATTGGACGAGCTGCCCACAAGACCTACGCGCCTGCTCGGGTTATGGAAGGAATGTTCAGCCACAAGCCAGCTAAGTAAGCTCCTTTCGACTGCATTCGAAAGGAGCTGTCTTTACACTAGGACTCAGGCTTAGCTGCCTTCGCTGACATCAATTTTAAAACACCCTTCTTCATCAAAATATAAAAATGTTAGGAAATGTTTCGGCTAATGTTCGTGTGGTTGCCTTGGCAGGCTCAGTTTAGAATTCTAAAGGTCAATCAGCCTCCTAAAACGATGACGACCAATGTCAATGTATCGACCTACTCTTCTGTTTCTTCAATTCCATCACTCTCGACGATCAGGACAGGGACTCTATGCGGGCAGTCTCTATACCGTCAAGGAATTCCTTCAGATTGAGAAGAATCCCAAATTTAGAAGTTCTTTCGCAACTATCCGAATGATGACGAAAATATAGTGAGTACGTTAAAACTGCTTCGTACGCGTCAATAGTGAATCCCTGCCAAGAGCTGTAAGGATGAGGTGAAAGCCAACCCGCCGTCTCAATGCAAGAACCCCAAAAACCGACAACGGCGCCTAGCGACCCTGCTGATTAACCAGGAGTTTCGGGAGATCTCCGAGTGGAAATCATGGAAGATAAATGGTTGTTAGCCGAAAGATACATTAAAGAACTCTTCCTCAACGACGAAGTTGATCATCGAAACCATCGTTTCGGCCAGAGTTGTTAATTGTATAGTTCTCAGACTTCGGGGTCAGAGTTGTTAATTGTATAGTCCTCGGACTTCCTTAGGAGCACACTTAACCACATTGATCCTCTTTGGGAAGGTAGCAAGCTGGCAGTCGTTGTGGTGCAAGAGATTCCGACCATCACCCACTTGTAGTGTTAAAAATGTCATTGCAAAAACATTGTAATATTGGGTTATGTTTTTTATTTGGCCCCCATACAATGCATCGGCTCCATTTTCGCTGTATTTAAGGTTTTGACCGTACTTTTCAATAAAAGGTGCTGTGATTTGGTATTTTGGGTTCTTAGAGAAGAAGTTAACATCCACTTCGCTGCGTTTCCCATCGATGTGTTTTTAAATTAGCCAAAATTTCCAACCCCCTAACAGTAATTTACCATGACATAGCTCCCAAATATAAGTCCCGACCCATTTTTTTTTCAATGCCCACTTTGTGGTAGGTTCGGCAATCACGCATTGTTTATACAACAAACTTTTATTTTTTTCTTGTATTTTTTTTCAGACACAAACATTTATTTACATTAACTAAATACTAACTAAAGTAAACTAGTTATATTATAAAAAAAAAATAAAACATAAAAAAATCTGGGTCACTGCAATGTCATTTTAAAACTTTCAACAATGAATATTCGGCAATAAATGAATCAACCAATTCCGGGTCCAATGTAGACTTTGCTCTATCATAGATAACTGACATTAGTTTAAAATCGCCCATGTCACGTTCAAATTTCAGCAAATCTAACCAAACATCAGTGTTGGTTTTGCCAAAATAGTGTACGGCGTTTTCATAGCACAAACGTAGGCGGGAAATGTTAGAGTTCTAGAAGAAAAAAAATGTTAACAAAAAAGAAAAAAATTAATATTTTATATAGCCTTACCTTCGTCTTAGCCTGCATTTCAATTTCAGCCATTTTCTTATGCAGCTCCAAACATGGCGGTGGCATTTGACACATTTCATCGTATAGCTCCCGCGTCCTCTTCAACGTTTCATTACGCATGGTGTATTCCAAATAATATGAACGGAATGTTGCAAATTCGGGATGAATTTGTTTGGCAGCCTCCTGCAGTATGACCAACAACTTTTTGCCATGTTCTTCGCTGTAGGCCTCGTAAAATTTAATGGCCAAATGCCATAGCTGTATGCAGCGTGTTACACCCAATTCTTTGTTGGCTCGACAAAAGATTTCATAGAATTTCGATTCATTGGAAGTTTTACTATAAACCTGCATCCACAACTCATAGATTTTATGGGCTTCTGCCTTTTTATATTCCAAAGCTTCTTGTAGTATCGTTTCAATTTGCGTCTGGCCATTTGGAGATTTTAGTAACATTTCCACCAAAGCCTGATAATGGACCACACTCATGAGCTGTGACTTGTGACCCATATTGAAGGCCTTGGCCAAACAATAGCGTTTAACATCACCCTCGGACTTAACATCTTGATTTAAATCGAGCATGGCATTAATAAAATATGACCACATCTCTTCGGTGGGCAGAGCGGCCACGGCTTTTTCATAGACCTTAAAACACAACTCAATACGTAACTTAAGGCTATGCGGTTTCCAAATAGTCTCCTGTGGCATATTACCATCTGTTTGCATTTGTTGTTCCTGCAGTTCGGCAACTTGTTTTGAGGTTACTTCTTGTAAATCAATCATATTATAACCACGCAATTCGCGCTGTGCCAAAAAATCCCAAACCATTGGTTCGGCGAAAAAGTTCTTCATAATATCTTCAATGATCTCCTTTTGCAACAGGACAGTACAATTGATGTAGGTGGGTTCTTCACATCTTTCCAACAGTTTGAGATAATAACTGACATTTTTTATTTTCGTTTTTGTATTACGATATAGCAGAACAGCTCTTTCCAAACCCAATTGTCTCTCCATTAGATCTATAGCATTACTAACATCTGTGATGCGGGCCGTTTCTTTTATCAATATATCGAAAAATGCCAAATTGATAACTTCGGAAGAGGGATGACGTTTCAGGGCTCTAAAGAATATTTCAGTGACCTGTTTCAGCTGTTGTGTGAATTCATATGCCCACAGACCATAATCACACCATACTGTGTCCTTGTCGCCATGATACTGGAAAGAAAAAAAAAAAAGAAAATTATTATCAATTCTGAGAATGTGGATTTTTTAAATATTTTTGAGAGAGATTATCAAGCCCTTAAGT